TAAATTATTGTTCATTATTGTGCATTCCTCTATTATCTCTCTCTACTATATTACACTATAGTTTTTAGGTTTGATTTATTGATTGGTTTGGATTCAATATTTAGTATTTATTTTTGTAAATTATATTTGAGAATATAATTAAGTTTCTGACTTCAAAAATAGCTTAAAAAAATGCTGAATAAAAATTATTGAGAAAAAAATATAAGCAATATAAAAATAAAAAAAAACCTTAAAAACTATATAAGAATATAATTAAGGGCCCATTTTGGGGCAGCTTAAAACAGCGGGCGGCTTTTTAAAAATGCAGCCCTAATATTTGTTTTCCAAGTTTCAGTTGCGTTCTCAAATCACCGTTTTCTATTTTGTGCATAACGCCGCCCGCGAGATCATCCCCGCAGTCAAGCGTTTCCTTGTGGCGTTTAGTCTTAAATTACTCTGCTCCCCTCGAATCGCCACCAAATTCGACATTACTTCTTCCTTCGTTTGCGATCGAGCTAGCAGAGCAGCTCCATGCTTCTTCAGCACACTTTCTCTTCCAGTTAAGAGCTCGCAGAGCCTGCTCTAACGCTTCAATTTTTCCTCTTCTGCAATGCTTATTCGACACTGCATCAACATCTCTTCTTCAGCCTTTTTGTATTCTATTTTCTAGGTTTTGTGCTTGGGCTGTTAAAGCTGCTTCACCCTTGAAGGATTGAATTGAGTTCTCTGTGACAGAAGGGCTTAAGAGGTATCGCAGTTGGTGGCTTTGTGTGCTCAGATTTTGTTTATTAGTCTTTTCTTCTTTGTTCTTGTGTTACAAAATGGCTTCTTCTATAGGAAAATGTGCGGTTTTTTAGTCTGTTGGGGGAAATTGAGAAAGAGAGTTGTTCATGGGTGAGGAGGGCAAAGTTTGCAACAACCACTTACATCCATTCCAGATCAAAAATGTGCGGTTTTTTAGTCTGTTGGGGGAAATGGAGAAAGAGAGCTGTTCATGGGTGAGGAGGGAAAAGTTTGCAACAACCACTTACATCCATTCCAGATCTTTTAAATTTCCATCCATCATATGGATGAACAATCTTACATAATTCTGATATGAAGAAAGAAATTATGAACTCTGAATCAGTGCCAATGGAGTCTATTTCCGGCTTCACAAATGCTGCTTTTTTGCTTGGTGGTTCTGCAAGAAAAACAAATGGGAAATCAAGGAAAAAGATGGAGGATTTATGTCTTGTTTCTTCAGATTCAGTTTCTGCCAAATCCTCGCTGCAACATGATGGCAGTGAGTCTTCTTCATCATAGATAAAGGAGTCAAATTTACAACCCATTGAGTTCTCCTTCCATCCCAATTGAACCGGAACATCATAAACAATGAAATTGTATTCTTATTCAGTCTGGCTTGCTTATCGTAAGAAGAAATTGGATCAAATGAAACGAAAATCCAAACCGAAGCAGAGATGTGTATCCCCACTACCAACTACCACTCTTTTTAATGTCTTTAAAGCGGCTAAATCCAATTCAAAGAGGTTATCCACACGACCCCCTTATAGAAATAAACCACACAAGAAGATCTTAGAAAAGAACAACTCTTGCAATGAATTGAATCCTCTCCAAAAATTTTGTTTTGTGAAGGGCATTACCTAGTTAAGGACGAAGAAGGTGACGAGGTGTTTATATAATGGGGCAGTTAAGGTGATAGCAATACAGGCCACAGATAACTGGATTGTAAATCTTTTCGAGCTGTACTTCGGAGCTCGATTTGCCAGTGGAGCTAATCGTAGACTATATCATGGCATGTATAAGAATCAACCCGTTGTTGTTAAGATTATTTGATTGCCTGACGATGATGAAAGTGGATTGATGGTGGCGCTCTTGGAAAAGCAAATCACGAGAGAGGCGACCTTTCTATCTCATCTTTGCCACCCCAATGTGATTAAGGTTGAATGGGATCTATGTTCATTACATCTTTTCCTTCTTCAATATGCATGAAATGAACACCTTTGAAACAATTCTTCTAGTACTTAGCTATGATTAATGTTACTCTCTGATGGCTTTGATGATCTGTTTAAAGCTGAGTCATATTAAAATTAAGGAAGATTGGCATGCATACCACTCAATTCCTATGTATTCACATATATATCTGTCAACTAAACTTTAATTTTTACATATATGTCAACTTAGCTATTCCTGAAAGAAGTAATTCACTTTTCAAAAGTTAAAATAGTGATAGTTTGTATGTGACATGAAAGATTTGGGTGGTATGAAGATAAATATTTGAAGTTCAAACAACTTTTGTTGTTGTTAATAAGACATTCTACAAGTAAAGTTAGCATGTTTATTGTTTGTTGTTTGGCCTATTGTTGAGATTGAGATATGAACTTTTACTGAGATTAAAATGGTGCAAAATGTTGAAAGGGTTGATGTTTTTTTTTTTCAGAATTTGAGGCAGGTTATTTCGGCTGGCAGTCCGGTGGTTCTATGAAAGTTGAGTGGTGTTGGTCAACGCTTCCGAGAGTAGGCCCGAGTTTGCGCAGATTGTGGTTTTATAATAGTTTGAAGCTGATATAGCTAATGGTTGAACAACTCAAATCTTTTTTATTTTCATGTCTTGACGTTTGAACTTTAATTTTAAAAAATTGTCACATTTCATATAAATTAATGTTATGTTGCATCTCCAAGATATTGCAGTTTTGTTGAAAACATTATAACTTTTGTGTGCTGATTTTTCATTTAACTAAGAAAATCTGTAAATCAGTTGTTTACAAAACGCACAAACCAAACAACTAAACACCTTTTCAAGAATAGGGGCAAATTAGTCATTTATCCAGAATCAGCTGTTTACTAATGCACAAACTAAACAATCAGTCAGCTTATCCAGAAGTTGATCATCAACAGATTATGGGTCTGTTTGGGGCAGCTGCAGGTTATCCAGTTTCTGCTGATAAGTAGCTTATCTTGATAATTTGCTAATGAGCATCTCATCCGTATAAGATGACTGGCTGTTTGGTTTGTGCATTTGGAAAACAACTGATGTTTGAGAATAAATGACCATTCTGCCCTTGAACTGAATAAGTGTGAATAAATGACCATTCTGCCCTTGAACTGAATAAGTTGTTTGGTTTTTGCGGTTTGGGAACAGTTGATCTGCAACTGTTGGTGGAAAAATGATCATTTTAGCCACGTGTAGTAAAGCTGTTTGCAACAATAATATAATGAGAACACATTTAATATACAAAAATCTAAAAAAACACTACATAACAATTCAAAGGACAAACAAAAGATACACTCCTCGCTTAAGGGAGACTATCTAGAAACCCCAAATCTAAGCTTGCATATGTAAACATATGTATGAAAATGTGCATAAGAATTGGATATATGGAATTGTGTAGCACACAATTATCTAGCATTTAAAAGCTTGCATATGTAAACATATGCATGAAAATGTGCATAAGAGTTGGATGTATGGAATTGTGTGGTAAGTGCGTAAAAAACTGAAATTTAGGCGACCTATATGTAAGAAAAAATATGTTTAACGAGAAGAGCTAAAATACTGATCCATCATCAAAGCAGAGGACGGAGCGCCTGGATTTGGTGGAGGAGAGCGACTGAGGATGTGTAGGAGGGGGCCGCGGGCTTCGACTGGATTTCAGCGACAGAGAGCGACGAAGGGCCGGAGATTCGGCGAGGGAGAGCGACAATGGGCCACGGGCTTCAACTGGCTTTTGACAACGGAGAGCGACGAAGGGCCACGGGCTTCAGAAAGATGGCAAGATAGGTTTCGTGAGCGAGAGGGGTAGAGGCGTAAAAGAAGTGAAATAAGCTCCTGGCAAACGCGAATCGCGAGTATAGCCTTGCGATTCGCGTGTAAGAGCTATAAAACATGAGAAAAAAATGGTAGGCAACATTTTTGAAAACGCCACCGTACTTGTAAGCTGCCCGAAAAAGGCCCTTACCCGCAGACCACATGTCGAAAACGCCGCCGCACTTGCAAGCTGCTACAAATAGGCCCTTACCCCGAGACCACATGGATTATCATTATCGAAAAAACGTGGGCCCGAAAAAATATTACATCAGTACTACGCATCTAAAAATAACGTGCGTAGCCAATCAAATCACGCCACGACATCTCGCGCGACAGAGCAAAAAAACGGCGCTGTAACACGGGGAATATTTCCCCCTGTGTTATTCATGTGTTATTGCATGTTATTCATGTGTTATTGCGTGTTATTCATGTGTTATTGAGGTGTTATTGTGTTATTATAACACCAAGAATATTCTCAGGACACAATAACACATGAATAACACACAATAACACATGAATAACATGGAGGGAATATTTCCCATATTACTACACCATTTTTTTTCTATGTCGCACGAGGTATCGTGACTTGATTTCATTGGCTACGCAATTGCTATTTTTTATTCTTGTGTTATTGTGTGTTATTCATGTGTTATTGTGTTATTATAATACCAGGAATATTATCAGGACATAATAACACATGAATAACACATATTACTGTGCACAGAAAATATTTCTCATATTACTGTACCATTTTTTTTCTATGTCGCACGAGATATCGTGACTTGATTTCATTGACTAAGCCATTGCTATTTTTTACTTACGCCGAGACCACATGGATTATCATTGTCGAAAATCAGGACATAATAACACATGAATAACACATATTACTGTGCACACGAGATATCTTACGCCGAGACCACATGGATTATCATTGTCGAAAAAACCCGGGCCTTCTGCTATCAAAGCTTCGGTGGCGGAGCAGTTTACAGCATACCTCGGAGCTCTTTAGAGGCGGAAAAGAGAAACTTGTGCTTAGTTTAGAGAAGAACCATGGCTCGCTTAGATCTCCTTCCTCTGAACTTCTGATCCCTCAAAGATCCCTACGCGGAGCAGCCGCCTCTCGGTCAGTCCAATTCCATCCATCAACCCTCCCCCTTCGGATGTCCGCCTTATAATAAATTCAACTTTCTTGATCTTTGCATGCCGTGGAACAGGTCGTGGGTCGATTGGCTGCGCAGCAGCGGTGGGAGAAAAAGAGACGGGAGATCGTGCAAAGATCTCTGCAATGGCTGGCGCCGCGGCTGGTGGTTTTGTTACCCGCTCCTTGGAGTCCATGCTCAAGGAGTGCTCCGGGAAGAAGTACGCCGACCTGCAGAAGGTCATCAAAACATGTCTAGGTCGGTACATTCGAATAAATTATTTTTTGTCGACTCTCGAACTCCAGATCGCAGTTACTTTGGTTATGATGGTTAGTAATTAACGCTCGAAATAGATCGCTATAATCATAATTTAGCTACAGGATGAATAGAAATTTGATAAATATTTTAGATCGGGAAAGAATGAGTTGCGCAGGGCGGTGTTATTTGATATTGTGATGCGTGAAAGGGGAGCTCATAATAAAGCGAATGAAAGTAATCACTGGTTAATTTGTTCAATAACTTGCCGCAAATCTGCATACATAAGATGCAAGGCATTAATATTTCTTTGACAATTACAGATACTTATAATGGTATATTATATTCTGTAGTAGGGCTGAAGTACATAAATGATTAATGGTTTGAATTTGTTCTTATTAGTCAAAGAAGTCCTTCAACTTGAATTACACGCCACTTGTTCAGATATGTTATGTATATACGAAATACTGATTAATATACAGAAAGAACAATGTACTAAGGATAGCACAACCACTCAATTTGTTTATCATGGCTAGGAGTTTCAATGTTGTGATTGGCATGAACTGTTGTATTCTTGTTTAAATTTCTTATGAAAATTTGCTTTTTTCTAATCATCTTGTGAAGCTATAAGTGTGGACAATGAAAGAAAGTGGAAGATAAGGAATAAAAAGGGATGATAATTTATGAAATTGAAGATGGGTTACCTGCCAACATTTTCTTGGGTTTGACCTATATGATACTTAAATTTTTTAATGTAAAGTAATTAATCTATGATAGTGTGGAGAGAAAGCCCTATGGCACGGGACATAATCCTTATGAATTTAATATTTTTAATATTTCATGAATTTAATATTTGATCAAAAGTTAAGTTTTACAACAACAACAACAACAACAACAAAGCCTTAATCCCACTACGTGGGGTCGGCTACATGAATCCTTTTTCTCCATTGCGTCCTATTTAGTGTCATATTTGCATTTAGTTCTAGTAAATTAAGATCATTTTTAATACAATAAGCCCAAGTCTTCCTAGGTCTACCTTTGCCTTTCTTAACACAAGTCAAATTTAAAACATCTACTCTTCTAATCGGATCATCTAATGGTCGACGTTTAATATGACCAAACCATCTAAGGCGACTTTCTCTAATTTTGTCTGTCACAGGAGCTACACCAACCCTATCACGAATATATTCATT